TCGTTCCGGCGACTCATAAAGGCCTACATGTCAAGATATAAAGGCTTGAAAGCTGTCAAATTTGGTCATGTATTGCTTTATAGAGTTTATTTACGCGGCATAAATCACATCTTTGGTATCTGTAACTTACTGGTAAGGCAGTTCTGTAGCTTGAGCAATTTTTAGTTCGAATAGGAGGCATATTGATTCAGGTAAAGCTGATTCATGCAAATTTTAATGCCTTATATTGTTGGTAAGCTTATTAACAATGGAAATGAAAACACGAATTTGTTGCTTAGATACTATGACCTTGCATATTCGCTTCGGTACGGTAAAAAACTTTCATACGTCAATGTTACTACATGTTGCATTAGATGTGTAATGTTCTTGGTGGAAGAGCTAAGCCCTCCCCCCAAACCCCCTCCCCAATGTCGGCTTCGTTGGTGGTTTTTTCGAGTCCTGTAAGGTACTCTCTGCTTTAGATGTTTTTACGCCTCTGATCACTAATTGGTCACCCCGTTTTATAATTCTATAGTGTATATATTAGGGACATATATTAGAGATGATGATTGAAAACACATGATGTGGTGTAAGCGGGACAGCATCAAAATGATGGCGTCAATGGGCTCGCCTGACCTGGTAGAGCGCTACAGAAAAGGAATCAATGATGGACATGGTAGGGATTGTTGGCCGGAAAAGATAGGAGGAAAGTGTGAGCTCCCGAAGATCGGTGCAGCCACGATGCAGGGAAAATTGGCCTGCGTCGCTGATATACATGGTCAACATGGGGTGTCAAATACCCTGTTTGTGAGGGCAACTAACGAGCAAATGCTCAACCGTTTCTACTTGATTGCAGAAAACACAGCGATCAGAATCAACACGGAATTTTTGCCAATGGAGACTTATTGGACAATTTCTGTTGTAGAAGGCGATACCAAAGGTTAAGTGCTGGAGTGGCCATTGGGGTTTTCAAGAAGGATAGCCAGCGAGAAGAGCAAATGTGGGAGTTATAAAATCGACCATGGAATGAGTTGGTCGTTAACATTAAGGAAGGTGGTAATAAATGGTTGAATGATAAAACAGGAATTGTTAATGCATTTTCTGTGGTGTGCTACTTCGTCTGGGGATTAAGACGCAGGGAAGGAAATGAGTCCTAGATGAAAGGTCAGATATCGATGGGCGAGAAGCTTGCAGGTAGTGATGCTGTTGCAAAGCTTACGAAGAATGCCAGGGTACGAACACTCTCTTGGCGAGCGATAATGAAGACGTTGGTCTGTGTGGTTAATAGAGGAAAATTTCTGACACTTTCGATACCGAAAAGATGATTTTGATGCATTACATGACAAGAAAATTCGTTAATTTTGAACATCTCGTAAGAGGGGAGATGTAAAGCAACAGCTACTCTACTCGAACTCTAATCTTCACTATATATACTGTAAAACATTCTAAAAAAAAGTAGACAAACAAACCATACCCTTTCAAATTTTTAAAGAATTGTGTGCCATACAAGGTGAATAAACCATAGACGAAGCCGGTATTGGAGAGGAGGTTTGAGGAAGAACATAGCGCATCTAATTCAACACTAGATAACATTGGTTTATAGGGGGGTTTTACTGTAGCGAAGTAAAGGTGCAAAACCATGGTAATAAGGCGTGTAATACGAAACTTGGTAACATTGATCTATATGAGGACTTAATCATAGCGAAGCAAAGATGCAAACATGTGGCAACTATGCATCCAATTCAGCATTTGATAGTATTGATCTATACGAGGGCTTGATTGTAGCGAAGAGAATATGCAAGGTCATAGTATCTAAGCAACAAATTCGTGTTTTCATTTCCATTGTTAATAAGCTTACCAACAATATAAGGCATTAAAATTTGCATGAATCAGCTTTACCTGAATCAATATGCCTCCTATTCGAACTAAAAATTGCTCAAGCTACAGAACTGCCTTACCAGTAAGTTACAGATACCAAAGATGTGATTTATGCCGCGTAAATAAACTCTATAAAGCAATACATGACCAAATTTGACAGCTTTCAAGCCTTTATATCTTGACATGTAGGCCTTTATGAGTCGCCGGAACGACGGCAAACAATCATACTTGAGTAGTAGTAACTTCCTGACACCTTTGCTCAACTTTTTAGGGACCCAAAAAACATGGCCAAGAATTGACCAAAAACCATGAGGGGTACCTCGTGGTTTTCATGAAAATTTAAACGATCGCATTTTTCACCTTGAAAATGAAGACTTTTACTATGGTATACCTTGAATCAAAATGTTTCTCTCGATCCAAAGCAACCTCTGAAACTACTTTTATGAGGCTTTCATATGCAAAATATGGCTATTTTGGCCAAAAACCTCATTTCAAATTTTACCAAATTGATCAATAGTTTCATTCAGAACACTTATTACGGTTAGCACAATTGGAAACGCCTTGAAAAGTACTTCAAGAATGTATTAGGAAGCGTTTTTTTTTTTGTAGGGGAGTCGAGCTCCAGGTTTTATTTAAAGTCCTTTAAATGTCATGCTGAGGGATAGAAAAGACTGTTGGTGGACCCAATGTCTGCAAAGAAGGGGAATAAGATATTTTTTGAATTAAGTTGGGAAAGAAATCTACTACTAATAAGGTGCGACACCTAGAGCCAGTATTAGGAAGCGTAGGATAATCATCACAGTTTATATAGTCGAACATCATAGAATAGATTAAAAAAGTCGAAAAAAGACAATACCTGTCCAACCTTGAACAGAAAAAAATATACTGAGTTTCAATTGATTTTAGCGAGGTCGATCGGTTAGTAGTAGGAATACAGTAGATTGATTGATACTATCAATTACACACATGGTCACCACTAGTATATTTGATACCAAAACTGCACAAAGTCATTGCATGAATATCTTGTATCATTCTATTTGCATTCTTGTGTTCAACATCAATGTGTGCTTGAGGTGTAGACTATATCGAATGGATATCTTCATCTAGATCCGCACTAATGAAACGCTGTTACTACCTTGTCTAAAGTGTAACATCTGGCGTTTACCTGAGGCAGCCAAACATAGATTATATCTTGTGTGGGTTGAAGATATGCTGTGTGTACCTATTACATCTTATTAACGACAAGAACCCCTTGTCTTTTTGAACTAATGTGTTTAATTGCGCAAACAGCGACTTGGTACGTCCACACTGCATTTAGTGAAGATGTGCTTCTCATGAACAATAGGTATACATTTTTTATCAAAAGAGGCTAATATACAACTTTAATTTACTCTACGCAAGTCAAATGTCGATATTGTTGGGGCCCATGGGGTTTATGAAAAGAGCAGCTTTATTAAAATTGGCATTTGATAAACGATACATTTATACGTGTTATATTATTGGCAGGTATTCTTCATTTTCTCAAAAACGCATTGAGTTGCGTGGGCAGCTTCTTGGAATAGATTGTCATCTGCCGTTTTATTAAGGGAGCACTGTTTTACCGCTTTTCCTACTGGGTTGTTCTGAGTGTCTCCGAATTGATCGAAAGCGTTCTTATCAACCATGAGCTGGCCATTGGGCTGGCGGATCACAATATCTCGTGCCATGAAGTCTTCTTGAATGCATATTTTTATCCTCGCTATCTGGGTTCCTTTAGTTTTGGCGAGGCATGACTGAAAGTCTGGAAGACTAGATGCAACATGGTTTGTAATACAATCCACCCTTCTTGTATCGGATCTGTTTGCAGCGACGCCGATAGTGGCCAATACAAAGAATGATAAGATTTTCATCGAAAGTGAATACTGCATTGCAAAAAGAAGCAGAGAAGTAAACAGGCAATGGAGCATGCTTTATATACTTTCAGCAATTGAAAACATGCATGCCATCGGTCCTCTCCTATTGAATGCATGCTGCAAATGCCTCTAGCATGTATCATGCCAATCGTATGCACAGAATGTACCACCTTGATGTGCTCAGATACAGCATAAAAGCAAATGCACATCAGTCGATTATATACATAAGGGGATATAGGAATGAGTCAGCTTGATGGATGCTCTCGATCGCAAAAAACGTGATGTTTGCATGGCTGTTTTGAACATTGAATTAGACAAGCAGCTTCATCTAGATTCACTGTAATGAAGTGTTAGGATAAAAGTGTAACATTTATGCTGATTTGTATATATCTTTATGTTTAGATAACTCATCGCCACAATCCCTCGTCAGATCTTTCTACTTGTTATACATTGCCGGTGTATCTTCCATACATAGCGTTGATACTATCTCAATGCGCTCATACAAGGGATGGGAGGTTATGCGATAAAAACAGTACGCTAGGTTGACAAATGACCTATTGCACTTCTTGGTGAATTTCTTTGGCAATACTTGAGAATATAAAAGAATAGGTGCAAGAAGAGTTGGAGGGATAAGGGAATGCGTCAGAGTTGCTCCTCGGCATCGAGGTGTCTGTCTGCTTCTATGTAAAGCTGGAGAGTGTGTTCGACGTCGCTAGTGTGGAAGCCGCCTAGCAGCAGCCAGAACAAAGCAAATCTCTGGACGACCATGCGAGAAGGTAAATACAATGCGACGGCTTTGTTTAGGGTAACAAATGGTTCTATCAGTCGTGTACGAAATCTACAAATTTCTGGCCTCAAATGTGTGCTCTCCACTGTCAACTAGTGTGATTACAATTTACTGGTGTGGCCGTCTTGCAAAATATCATCCATTTCCTACCTCGGTGAGATCCTTTACTCGTATATGCTCATCGCCGCTCCTTTCATACTTGAGTTGTTTGGATAACATTTCAGCATACACAGTGCAATTTGCTTGCTCAATGTGTGTAGAGGTAAACACAACATGGCATCCATATCTCCTGTCAGGAACCTCATGATAGATCAAGTTTTGTAATTCACTGTCCTCCTCTCTCTCTCTCTCTCTCTCTCTCCACTGTCACATTTTTTTTTGCACCTCTCAAGAAAAAAAAGCTTTTTGAGTTCCAACATCCCCAATGTGTTGTTCGTTTCTTTTAGATCCTTATATTAATCATCATGGTCAAACTGTGTGTACTTTGTGCCAAGCGAAGAGCCGTTTTAAAGCGACCCAAAACTGGTCAGCAAATCTGTCAAGAGTGTTTTTACTATGTGTTTGAGACCGAGATCCACCATACAATCCAAGATACCAATCTTTTTCAAAGAGGCGAGCGAGTAGCTATTGGTGCTAGTGGTGGCAAAGGTAAGAGTTTTTTTTTGGACGTATGCCTGCACGGAATCCAATGCTGATGATGCATATGACGACGCAGATTCCACTGTGCTTGCTCACATTATGAAGACATTGAACGATCGCTACGACTATGGATTGGATTTGTATCTACTTTCTGTGGATGAAGGCATTACAGGCTACAGAGACGATTCATTGGAGACAGTTAAGCGCAACCAACAACAATACGAGCTTCCCCTAAAGATTGTATCCTACCATGAGCTGTATGGCTGGAGCATGGATGAAATTGTCAGAGAAGTGGGTAGAAAGAACAATTGTACCTACTGCGGTGTGTTTAGACGTCAAGCATTGGATCGAGGCGCTGTCATGTTGGGTGTGAATCATATTGTCACTGGCCATAATGCGGATGATATTGCAGAGACTATTTTGATGAACAGTGAGTATGCTATTCATAGCAAGCACATTCAGCACGACTAATCCGATTGGGTAGTCTTCCGTGGTGATATTGCAAGACTGGGTAGATGTACCGAAATCGTCACTCAAGGCGAGAGCAACATCAAGAGATCAAAGCCATTCAAGTACACTTACGAAAAGGAGATTGTCATGTATGCTTATTTCAAAAAACTGGATTACTTTTCCACCGAATGTATATATTCCCCCAATGCCTACCGTGGTAATGCTCGTACATTTTTGAAGGATTTGGAGGCTATTCGACCCAGTGCTATTGTTGGTATGTTGAGTGTATGGTTGGGTATTGCTTATCCATCAGCTGACATGTTGTCTAGACATCATCAAATCTGGAGAGGCATTTGAAGTCAAATCTGGCACCAAGATGCCTACACAAAAGACCTGCGAGCGTTGTGGATACATGTCTTCCAACTTATTATGTAAGGCTTGTTTGTTATTGGAAGGTCTCAACAGAGGCTTACCTCAAATGGGTATTGGCAAGGAATCCAAGGCAGTAAGTACTTTTTATTTCTGATCCAAGTACCCGTTTCTTACATGTGAATCCAATAGCGCCGTGAGGAGAGGGAAAAGAACGCAACTGAGAACAAGGACAGAACAGCAACAGCAGTAAAGGTTACTCACTTTTCCGAGATCCAAAGAGACGAAGATCAGCCTCAACTGGTTCAACCCAAAAACCCAGAGGATGTGTATACACCACCTCCACGAGTGCCTGGAGGTATCTTGCACGATGCCAACTTACAGAAAAAGGATGTTTCTTGGTAGATGGGCTGTTTCAATTATAGAAATAAAATTGTATGTATATTGTTAGCAACAGCATGCGTTAAGAGAGAGAGAGAGAGAAAGAGATGTTTCGGGTAGAGGCACAGCATTTGATTTAACGTGCCGCATGAATATACGATGCTTTATAAAGTATAGCATCTTGGCTTCTTTATCATTTTGTATCAAAATGAGTGCCAGTTCGTCTGTAGAAGCTAGTAGTTTGCCAGTACCGCCTCCAAAGCCTCCAAGAATAAGTGCTCGACATCATTCAGTCTCGTCAGGCGCCAGTCATGCAAACGAAAGAATGCCACCACCTGTTCCACCAAAGCGTCTATCCGTAAATTCCACATCACTGCCAAAACTCTCCAGTGAATCCACCTTGTCGTCTGCGGCATCGATACATAACATGGCATTACCACCCTTGAACAACAGGGATACATCTCCAATCCTCAAAGCCGACAAACCACCCACATCACCTGTATCCGTGCATGGTGGCAGTAAAAGAAGAGACTCCATTTCATCTCTCTTAAGCAGCAGTAGTTTGGAAACCTATCTGCATGAGATTAAACAGCTGGGAAGACAAGTCAAGCGTCAACTACTGGAGGAAGAGGACATCATGTCTTTGGGCAATCGAATGCTACCAGCTTCTCCACAGCCCCCACCAGCCGTTAGAAGAAACAGAGCTATTTCGTTGGGATCTGCCAAGACAAGCGCTCATGTTGATGATCTAGTTAGACAACAGCAAGAACAGTTATTCGATTCGTTCAATAAGCTTAGACAGCACAAGCAAGCAGAGGCACATTCTTTGGCATCTGATGTCAGTGATTCAACAGCACCTGCTCCAGTTGAAAAAGAAAAACCGCACACGGAAACTGCTCCAGACAAGCCAATTCCACTCATTGACTACGTTACGCCCGAGCTGGTTAATGAGAAACCCTTTATTCCAATTGTATATGCAGATGAAAAGAGAAATCATGATTTTCATATGCTATTTCGTAGTGTACCTGAGGAGGACAGGCTGATTGAAGGTAAACTACATACAAGCACATGTGCGGTTATCACTCTGTCGCTAAATTCCACACATAGAATACAATTGTGCCATGTATAAGGATATCCTTGTTCAGGGCAAGCTATACATCTCTCAAGAGCATCTCTGCTTTAATGCAAAGTTCTTTGGCTGGGCGACCAATGTAAGATGAACGGATGCTTATGGCCCTCTTATACTGATTCAATGAAAATATAGCTCGTACTTGCTTACAAAGACATCAAATCCATTGAAAAGAGAAACATGGCATTGATTGTTCCCAATGGAATACAGATTACAACCCATTTAGACACCAAGGTAAGCTTCCAGGCACAACAACGCCCATATCTCGCAAGTCGCTCTGACTGGCGCATTTTAGCATGTATTTGCTTCATTCATGACTCGAGATTGTACATTTGATCTGATCTACCAAACATGGCAAGAATGTCTATTTCCTAAAAAGGAGGTAAACGAGATAAATGATCCTCTACCACCACTACCACAGACACCCAACAAAGATAATCATGCCGATATGGTAAATCAACATGTTGTACAAAAGCAAGCAATACCGGAGGAAACCGCCGTTAGTAATCATAAGCAACCGTCAACCCAACAAGACATGGTGTACAAGCATTATCAATGGATTGTCATGGATGAGGTCTTTATTGGGACTGTGGAAGGGTTATACAAATTACTCTATCAAAGTGATTTTGTTCATCAGTATCTTGTTGTGATGGCGCAATGTCAAGGTACTGCAGATAGAGCTTACTGCTTGAATACCTGATTAAATGCTTGATTTGTACCTGATAGACGTTCAATTCGGTGCCTGGGATCAAGGATCTAACGCTAGAAGTAGCACCATCACAAAGGATGGCGTTGACTATCAAGGTACGTTTACTAAAAGTAATACTGAATACTTGCTCAACGTCTTTAGGACTCTCTAGTCACCGATACAGAAACCTGCCATCAGCGAGATACTGTGCTTTGTATATCAAGTACAGTAACCAGCGAAAGTTTGGTTGATTTAAGGTATAAAGTTTGTATTTCAAGAAGGACAGACACAGAAATAGAAGCCGTGATCTCAATACACGATCAGCAATGTAAGCCAAATACAAACACTGATCCAATGAAAGCAACTGACTAAACACTGGCACACACACATGTACGATAGATATTCCGTATTTCAAATCGTTTCAAAAATGGCTATCGCGAAAATCAACGAGAATCACGATACAACGATTATCGGAAGGAAGGAAATTGAGCACATGTTGGCGTGATTCAAAAAGATTGGCACTGCAGCGAAAATACGTGATGCCCAGTGTACAGATCATGAAACAAGCGTACCTAGTGTTTGTGTTATCTGTGCAGTCAGCCTATCGATATGCACAGGCCATGAAGTGGGAGCATTGGCTCATTCTGTTGCTGTTGATGGCCAGTCTACTGATGTTGCATCACATGAACGCACGAGTGTATCTATTAGAGCATCAGCATTCGCCCTGCTTACTTGCATTTCCTGCTGCTGACACCGTCATGAAAGACGAAACAACGACAAATTCAGTGGAGATGAACCACTTTGAATTTATGCAGCTCAAAATGAATGAAATCAAGCAAAAGATGGCCTTGTTGCATCGAGAGGTAGCCTCACAAAAGCAGCAATTACTACATGAACCGCAAGAATAAACTTTATACACCCAACCGAGACATGTCTTGCGCGCATGCTGTCTTTCCATTTTCCAAGATGTTTCATGTCCTTCTTTCCAATTGTGGTGGTGTCTAGCGCAGTTTATTTTCTTGTATTTGTAAGCCACATTTTGTGATTTAGAGGATGCCGGTAGATGGTCTCGCTCTGGTAGGTTCAGTCTCGAATCGTCGATGATGTGCTTTCATGCATTAGCATCTACTAGCAATCCAGGAGAATGGGAAATGATGGGATAATTAGCGTTGTTTCAAAGTGGCTCACCAAACGCACGGTAAATCATAATGCAACCACAAGCGGAGCCAGCTTTTGTGTTATCCCAGGACCCCATTCCACCTCACAAATGCCACTAATGTTGTGTTACTAGCAGTGCAATCACCAATAAAAACAAGCTCATCCGTCAAGGCCATAAGTCATGCATGAACGAATATATTTCAATTAGAATCAACACATTGTATTTCATGATTGAGAAAAGACAGATTAGGAGGGAATGTAAACGAAAGAAGAAAAAGCCTTGTTGCAAAAGGGTATCAAAACTACTCAATGTGTGTGCGTGTGTGTGCGTGTGTGTGTGTGTGTGTGTGTGTGTGTGTAAAATGCAAACTTATATACTACTAATGGGGAATGGAGAGTGTTGTTGTTGCTGCTGCTGATTCTCTAAATCAGTTTCGCCTGTATAAAAGCAATACTTGTTGACCAAATCCATGTAATAACTTGAATTGATATCCAAGGGTGATGATACGGTGGATGCAAATGACATGGCTGCTGACATACTGTTGGAATGATGATGGAGAGGTGGTCGACTGAGAGTGGCAGTAGGCATAGTAGGTGACGCCTTTGGACTAGGTGGTGCGGATGTTGAGGTCATGTACACAGGTTTGGAATAAGAGGGTGCTGATATGGTTGTCATGGCAGGTGTACTAGAACTGCGTCGAGATGCGTTGAAATACGAAGGTGGTGAACTGACAATGTTTTTAGTATTGATAGTACTGTTGACGGAATATGAGGTAAATGATGGAGTATCGGATGGTGTGCTTGACTTGCTGGTGGCCGTTGTATCACTGGCAGTAGCAGTTGTTGTTGTTGTTGTTGTTGTGCTGTTGGATGGTGATGGCGATACTGGCTTGATGGAAATGGGCTTCACCAAAAAGTAATCTGTAATGAGGGTTGGGTTTGCCTTGACAGTAGTTGCCCAGGACTCATAAGGCGCTCGTTTAGCCAGGGAAAGCGATTGGCCAAAATCATAGCGAGTGCCAAGCCAAGGTTGACGTTTGTTGAGATGAAATGGTTTGGCATGCTTGTATCCCTTGAGTGCGTTTGTGAACTGACTATGCTTTTCCTTTTCCTCCCATTGTCCCTCTTCCAATTCCTCTTCTTGTTCCTCATCATCGTCATCGGGATACTCATCTTCGTCCTGTGTTGTTTTCGCAGTAGCAGCAGTTGCCTTTTGAGGTCTCTCGTGGGCCCAAGGATCATTCAACGGATCACTGATCACCTTGATTTGATAATTCTGGCCATTGTTGTTATCGTGGTAATCCGTCTCGCCTGCGGTGAATCTCACTGCAAATTCCAGCTTTCCACGCATTTCACCACGATCTGCCAGCTGTCCATAACCCAAGTCCATGGCGAATTCATAGATATCAAACGCTGTATTCTTCAAGTAAGGGCCGAAAAACGTAGCATCCACATCCTGCACTGTGGTCCACCCATTGAAAGTATAGCGAATGGACACAAATTTGTCCAAGGCCAAGTTACGTACCATGACTTTACCCTTGATGCTCTGATTATCGTCACTGACATGGAACTGCTTCTTGTTGAGCAGGATATTTTTAGAGTAATAATCGGTGGTTTCTTGTGGAGATGGCCAGTGTGGACAGATGATGCGAAATGGAGGATTTTGCTGATGCTTGTCATGCGCTTCCTTCAATTCACATGGTGATTGTGCTTCGAGGAATAAACACACTCTCTCTAGAAAGATGGGATTGAATTTGACGCTTGGCTTCTTTTTGCTTTGTATGGATATAGTTGGGCTGGGTGGGCTTGACGTATCTGTGTCCATTTGTTGCTGAAATTTGTAGTTGGCTGATGATTTCGTCGAAAGATGGAGTTCAAACTTGTTCTTCTTTACTGTTGCCATCTTGGGTTCTGCTGCTGCTGTTGCTGTTGCTGTTGCTGTTGTTGCTGTTGTTGTTGTTGCTGTTGTTGTTGTTGTTGCTGTTGTTGCTGTTGTATCCATGGCATTCACATTGGCTTCAGTTCCTGCTGATGCTGCTGCTGATGCTGCTTTGTTTGCTTCAATGGCATCTGTATCCTGCTTTAATGATTTCTTGTTGATTTCGGTAAACTTGGCCTTCTTTCCAAAGACACTGAACCGAGGTTGTGAGATGTGTGTTTCTACTGTCGCTGCCGGTTTTGCTTCGGGTGCTTCTTCTACCATAGTTGTGGTGGATGATGCTGAATACGATGGTCGAGACCAATCTGTTCTACCCCATTTAGTTTGGTTTCTTGGAAATGTTTGGAACCCCATTATTTGTTGTTGTTTTTTTTTGTGGGTTTTTTTTTTATGGTTTTTGAAAGAAAAAAAAAATATGTACAATCTCTACAATATATAGCAAAAGAAAAAAAAAAGAGAAAGAGAAAGAAATGGAAAACGAAGAGAAACAAGTTTTATGACAAAACCAAATTAAAAAGCACTGTGAATCATCACATTGTTTCCCCGCTTTGAACATCCATTCTTCTTCCAGTAGGAGCAATGCTGGTTTTCCCTTCCTTGCCTTATCAGTCTCTCTCCCTCCCTCTTGTATACAAACGATAAATTTTGATTTAGTGTAACAAATTCGAACCCTTTCTAACCCGATTGAATCAAAAGGATCTAGAAGAGTTTTCTTTTTTGTTTAGTCATGCTGGATTGAAAATTTCAACATTGGAAAACAAATGTGAATAGTGTATCTCGCTCGACATTTACAGTTTCCAGTTAGGTTTTTTTTTATACCACCACCGTCTAAAAAGGCTCAAAATTAGTCATTTGGGTGCTTATGCAATCATCTCAAGCAATGGCAAATGTAGCAGCGGTAAATCCCGAGTTTCTTTTCTGAGAACTGTTGCAATACCGATGGCATTATATTTTCAAGGTGCCGTACTCTAGTAAGGTTATCTCTATAGAATACCAAAGGCAATGGCGTAATTGCATAGGTTTGCAACGTAACCACAGGCAACATTTTCATACAGGAAAAGATGATGCGAAGTCTTACCGGGGTCTCATGCATTACAAATAGGCTTTTTTTTTGCCGTTTTCATCACAGTGATTTGCGCTGAAAAAAAAAAATTACAACACCTAAACTAAAGAGATGAAATCATTGAATACTCTAACCTTGATTAGTCTATTCTGAATACTACTAGGGGCGTGCACTAGAAGCATTCTTACTCAGGATGCTATATGAGTAATGTCTTGACATCTTTGCTCAGTGAAATTTGATATAAAATAATATAAAAACGTACACTCAAAAGTATAAATTTTAAACGCTGTTTATTCAAATTTGTGTAGTTGTTATTAGCTAGCCAAGTTGGATATGATTTGTGGTAATAGCATTCTAAAAATCACTTTGATAACTCATCGTTAAGAGCCTCAATAATATAGTCAGCTTTTTCTAGACAGGATATAATAATTGGACAATTGTTGATATTCCTTCCTTCCGCCTTATAAATTAGTTCTTTTTGCGGCAATGCTTCCATCAACTCTAGAAGGCTGTGTTAAGTAGTATCCTGCTCGCCAGGGAAGTCATTAATCACACCACTGCTAAAAGAAATTTTCTCAATGCTGATTAATTTTCAGAGGAATAGTAACCGCAATCGCAAACGTCAAAAATCTTTAAATTTGAATGCATGTTAGTTTTGTACTTCCAGAATTTTGATGTGAGGCAAAGAGTAGCATCCCCATAAAAGTAAAATGTAGGGTGAATCTATGTGAGCAACCAGAGACTTGATATACCGGTAAGTGAAGAGGCCTAGTTTGTGAGGTAATCAAAATGGCATTCTGAAGTGGGGAAAATGTATATACTCTGTATATACTGTTTTATTTTCACTTTTCTGGATATATATTTGCTATTATTCTGAACAGAGACGACATTAGAGATAGTTCAAGTTGTATTATGCAGCATTTTTGTACAGCACTGTCTCCATTAGTATTACATTTTCTACGAGTATAATATATGTGTCAAGCTGATGTTTCTCTTGAGATAACGACATAACGCTGGCCATGCGTAGATACAGGGCATGCATAAAATCCACAGCGACCTCTTTGAAAGATTGTCATTCCAAATGACACTTTCTAGAGAAGCACTCCCAAAAAAAAATAAAAGTATATAGTATTCGGGCCAATCGATTGTCCTTTCAGATTCATGACCCCCTATTTAATCAGCATCGCCATCATCAGTGTCACCATCAGAAAGACCTTTGGACCTGCAAGCAGCAGTGCTGCCCGCCGCCAATACTCATTCAACCTCAGTTTATCTTTTCTGCTCAAGATTGACCAAATTTCAACTTTCTTCGACTTGATCAAGCAATTTTGCGATATTTGACTATATAAACTATAACGATCATCCGGTGCTTTCTAATACAATCTTAGACTACTTTTCAAGACGCTTCCAATGGCGGTAATTGTAATAAATGTTCTGAATGAAATTATTGAGCAATTTGGTAAAATACGAAATGAGGTTTTTACCGAAAATACCCAGATTTTGCATATGAAAGCCTCATGAAAGCTGTTTCAGTGGTTGCTTTGGGCCGAGAGAAATATTTTGATTCAATATATTCCATAGTACGAGCCGCCTGAACGTAGGTTGGTTTCCACCGAAGCGAAGCGTAGGTCAGGAAACCACCCGAAGTGTCGAAAGGCTCGTATTCCATAGTAAAAGTCTTCGTTTTCAAGGTGAAAAACGCGATCGTTTAATTTTTGATGGAAACCATGAGGTACCCCTTATGTTTTTGAGTTGACTTTTGGTGATCCCAAAAAAGTTAGGAAAATGTGTCAGAAAGTAAATTTTGGATCAAAGAAATAGTTTGGTGCAATTCCGGCAACCAAAAACGGCTTCTAACACGAGAGAACAAGGCTCGCATTTACCCAAGTTTCGCTGCATTTTGTATGTATTTGGATTATGAGAGGTGATGCTTTTATGCTGTGTGCTCGTGTTGGAGCTGTTCACATTGATACAGGTGTGAGTCTTTGTGAAAGAGCCGAATTAACAGCTGAAAGCTGTTTATGAAGGATTCTTACTGAAGTGAACCAGACTAGATTCCCATCATCATAAAAAACAAAGTCCAAAATAAAATTCATCTCAATCAAGCCATGCTACCATCATCAACAGATAAGCATGCATAATAATAATAGTATTAACATGATGATAGCAAGGGTTAAATGCTCTAAAAATTAGAGATAACAGATACTAAAGTAAATGTCAAGAGTATTGTAATGTGTTGTAACATAAATATACCTGAAAAGATACATAATACTCAACAACAAAGAACTGTTCTTTACGTATGATCCACAAACTATATAATAAAATACAGTTCTTGATCCATCATCAGATCAACAATCAAGTAACCCAACAAGGATACAGAAATAATGGAATCACTGGCAGCTACTAAACTGCTGCCAGATAAGAGATATAAACTAAATAGAGACGTAATATAAAATAGACAATTCATTGCACACTATCCTAATTTTGAATAAAGAAGGATTTTAACAGTATTCTATCTGCCTTTTCAAACCCCTTTTTACAGCAAGCGGGATATTTTGGTACTGGGAAGACCTGGTACATTGTGCACTACTGTACCTATATCACTTTTCCCATACAGCAATAATAAATTTAATGAACATTTTCAAATAAAACTGACTGAGAGATACTGGATCAAATGATCGTAGCTTATCATCTGAATAAAAAAGAAATAGGATAGTGTATATCTATCTGAATACTCTTTTATTATTGAAGACACAAATCATGTTAAATGACAGATCAATAGGAGATCAACTAGCTAGAATCCTTCGGTCCCTGAACCTCTGAGCCAATCAAATTGCTCAAAAACTCCGCTGACCTAAAAAAAATTTTGCGAGGGTTTCCCCCTGTTTTGATGTGAGGCAAAATTTTAAGCGCCGCTATAATAGCAATACAGCCGTTACTATCATCAAATTTCCCCCAGGTGCTAGAGCATGCCTTACTTACACCACCTAGCTTTAAATACTGGCATTGAGACCCTCAATCATCACTAAAGTAAGTAGCGATAACCAAGTGGAGGCGGCCTATCTACCTCCTGATGTCGGATAAAGTCTTGTTGAGCTTCAGGGATAGGCACATCCACACAACGTAAAAAAGGTATGCTTCAAAGAAACATGATAATAATAAAAGAAAGAAGAAAAGAACATAATACTATAAGAGTATAGTAGTATGTAAGTAAAAAAAAAAAGAAATGCTCACACGAAGCAAGTCAAAGAAATGCATAACAAACACAACATCAAAGATGTTAAAAAAAAAGCTCGTTGTTGTTGCAAGAAAAATGCATACATGAGCAACGCGCACGGTAGTAATAGTCGTATGTAAAGCAACACGGCACAAATACGCACAACTGCAAAAGCAACAGTGGTATTATAAGTTTGCGATACAACATAAAGAATATTGTTGTTTCATGTGAAGCCACAGAGGAAACACTACCAACAAAAGAAAAAGAAGAAGAAAAAAGCGCAACAAGACAAACATGATGAATGCATTATCACGAGAAAGGAAGCAATAATATAAGCGTTCAAAGAAGTTATATATCATTGCGACCAGAAGAAAGAAGATACTTACCACTTACCACAGCCACAGATTGGCCAAAAGAGTATAGGCAAACACCGGAGACAGACCAGAGAACGAGCATGCACCAAATATAGTAGACCGGGAAAGACCATATAAGCAGCAGCAACAGCAGTAACACCGGCACCATAGAAAAACTAAAGAACGAGCGCCATCAGCAGAGAGCAGACAAAGACCAAAGATATTACTTACCACTTATCACCACCACAGGTACGCCAGAGGATATGCAATCACCAGAGATAGACGAGAGAACGAGCATACATCACAGATAGCAGACCAGAAAAGACCAGGTTAACAGCAGCAGCAATGCCAGCAGCAATACCATTAAGACCAACAGCAATACCATCAGCAAGGCTATCAGAAAGATCATTAGCAAATACCAACAGCAAGCACCAACAGCAAATACCAGCAGCAATATCAGCACGGTAGAAAAACCGGAAAACGAACGATGCCAGAAACCAGACAAACGCTAAAGAAGCATCTACCAGTCATAATGACCAATGATGAAGCAGACAACAGAGATATCAGGAAAGTAAGGACAGCAGCACCGACGTCAAACAGGCAAAAAAAATTATCGAAACCTGATAAATAAATTCGATTAGTACTAGTTCTACGTCCTCCAGTGCTCGTTGTCGAATGGCACCTACTATATTCTACTAGAAAGAAGCAGTATCAAGCACTT